TGGCTGTGCTGCATTTGTTGGCATTGCTGAGTGTGTTTGTGTGTTTTCACAAGCTCTGCTGGGTAAATATCTCTGATCTTGCTGTGTATTCCCAACAGGCATTTTATTATACCAGTAGCTTTCAGCATTTATTGATTGGTGGAGCTCTTAAGTCTTCTAATGAAGTGCTGGCTAATTATAATTTCAGTGTATCTTAATTTGCTGTGTCTTTGCAAGTCTGTGTTAATCTGAAAGTTAGACTCGTATTCAACAGATCAGTCTTGAGTACTACTTACTATGCTATGATATATTGAGGCTGGAGGGTGAGGGGCGTAACACTTTTTATTTATTTTGATGTGTTATCAATTGCAAACTTAGATTTAAACTGCCAGCTTAAGAAATGATTGCAAACACATCACAGTAGCGTTTAATAGCTCATCTAAGTTGGCTTCTACAAAGACATTTACTTGTATAAGTACACTGACAAAGCCTTAATAGAGTATTTGTTACATAACGTGGTTGGGGCTCAAGCTGCAAAATGAGAGGCTTTCCCATGGTAATTCCAATTAAGGTGAGCTACAGCAGTGTTCTGCAGTAATTTCATTGGTTTAATTTTTGTGTCTGCAGATGGAGGAGGGGGACCTAAGTGAAAGAGGATTGCCACAAATTGCTTCAATCATGAGTAGAGTTAGAGACTTGAAAAGCAAATATAGAAATGAAGACAATATCACAGATGAGCTTAACTGTACTAAAATCTCAGCTGATACAACAGGTATGTGTGTCTTGTTACTTTATTGTCACTTATGTAGCAGATCTTAGCCTAAACTGAGTGAAAGAACCATTAGCTGAAAGAATTTAAGGTTTAGTATTTCTTCAGTATGAATGACTGCAAAATACACTTCATCTCCCCTTGTTTCTTTAGTTAACTGTAGTGCTCTAATATTTAAAACAAAAGTCATTAGTAATCTTAAATGGAGGCATCTAAAAAGTGTTGTGTTCATGTTTATTGCAGTTTTAATCAATCTCCTTTGTTGTTTTTCTGTCAGATAACTCGGGAACTGTTAATCAGATAATGATGACGACAAATAATCCGGAAGATTGGCTGTGTTTTTTGCTTAGGCTAGAGAAAAAGGGTATTCCTCAGAAGGATGTTAGCCTACTAAATAGACTCATTGGACGCTACAGTCAGGCGGTGACTGCATTACCTGCAGAAAAGCACAGTCAAGATGAGAGCTATGCTCGCATCCTTGTGAGATTTGCTGAGTTGAAAGCGTAAGTATAAATGTTCAGTATAAGAACTCGTCATTAAAAATTCTGCATTGGAACGCTGATAAAAATGTCTTGTTCTCATTAGTGATTTTTGCAACAGATTAATTTGTATGGATGGTTTCATATTGGCTCCTTGAAACTCTTGAGCAGCTTTGACTCATGAGCTTATCTGTCATCTCTGCAATACTTGCATTTTTTTTTTTTTTTATATGCTCAGAAACATGATTGTTCAGAGCTATTTGATTTAGAGATGCTAAGACACTTTTTTCGGGGGCTCTGTGTGAGGTATATAAGGAAATAGCATGAGACCCTTTTTCTTTTCAGCTTTGTACTTGAGCTCAAAAGAAGCTGTGTGGATGAAATCTGATATAACTTTAGGTAACTATAATCTGTGTATTAAACTGTCTATGTGATAAGTTAGCATTGATTTCCATGTGGTCTTCTATAAATGATTTGGCTGTGAGGCAGACACCTTGCTATTATCTAATCCATCTAGTCAAACCATAGTGGTCTATGCTTGTCTCATCTGTTTTATCCCTTACCTAAGAAAGACTGATCCCAGCTACACTAAATTAGCTGCCTTAGGGTAGGAAGAATGTCTCATAACATCATTCAATAATTCCATGCTTATGAAATTAGTTGTTTGTGGTCATTTATTGCTTTATTCAGTCCGAGCTTGAACAGTGTTGGTTGTTCAGATATGTTCAGACATTTTCAGACATCATTTGGGACACGTTGTAATCTGATTCTTTAGTAAGGAGTTCTTTTGTCACTTGAAATATTACAACAAATATTTTGAAGAGCTGCATTTTAATTAGCATCAGTCCTTAATGATTATGCCTGAGCAGGTGATCTTTCAGTGAATATAGCTAGTCTTTCTCACATGTAATCATACCAGAACATGAAATTGTTCTTGACTGATCGGGTATAAAAAAAGAACAGCAGTGTTGCTTGTCTGTAGCTTTTGGAGATTAACGTTAGTCAGTGAGTAGTTATTTGGATCTTCTGTGTTTGGCATGTTTGCTTATTACTTGTAACTCTCTTGGTGCTTGAGTGGTTTGTGTTGTGTGGCTTTTTTTTTTTTTTTTTTTTATTAAGCTATTGCAAGTAACACTTTGATACATAGGTGCTCTGATGATGCTGCCTTTGGTGGGAGAAGAAAGGTGCTTTTTAGTAGAGTTGTTTGTTCTCTGAAATGTCCCACTTAATGGAAAAAGCAAGTCAGAGTATCAGAAACCTTCAGAAGTGGTGACAATGGCTTGAGATTTTAGTGTCTATTCACATCAACACTGTTTTCTTCTGATCAAAGCTAAATTATTCCATTCTTGGCACTGGACCTGTATTGTTCTGGTATCTTCTCTAGCTGTAGTCCGATTATGCCAAAACCTTTTGACCTATTACGATACTGAGTTTGTTTGAAGAACACTTAAATGTACTGTGAAATAGGTGAAGGTGAACAGTCAGCTGCATCTGTGCTTATCTGTATTGCACACCAACCATGCCAGGCCTGTTTTCACGTAATGCTTCTGGCTGTAGCACAGTGCCACCAAGTGTGTGGCACTTGATGCCTGTTGCTAACGTGTAGGACTTGTCTGCATATTGCTATCCAAGTCATTGCTGCTTTCTACAGGAACTTAATCTTTAACTTGCTTTTTGAAAGTGAATGTAATTAATGATACAGCTTAATTTCTGTTACTCTGACTTGCCTGCAGATGGGTTATTCTGTGCCTGTCCTTAAACTTACTGGAGTTCAGTAACATGACTAAACTGAGGCTTTTCTCATTCTTAATTTCACAGAATTCTACTGGAAATACATCTTCTTTAGCCTTGTGTTGTATTTCTGATGTATATTTTTAAGCTATTGTATAAATTTTTCACTGTCCCCACTCCTATGCATTGCCTTTGCTTACCTGTTGAACCAGGGTGGAATTCTGGAAGAATTCTGGAAGAAATTTGTTTGTTTCTTGATTGTGGATTTTCCTAATAAGTGTTAAATTTTTTTTTTTTTTTTCCTTTGTATTAAAAGGGGGAAGGGAGTCCATTGAAACATAATGTTAATCTGTTATTTCATAGTGGTATAGATCCAGGCCTTCTATATCTTGACTAGTATTTACTTAAGCTGCAGATCCTCTAGAATATTTAAATGTTGTTGTACTGTGGTGCAAGCACCTCAGTTGTCCTACTGTGCCAGCTATAGCTGAATGCAAAACTAGAGTTAAAATTTACTAAAGCTAAATGTGAAGTATGTTGTCTGAATGTTGTGGCACAGTCTCTATGGTTTTGAAGTATACCATGTTTGCCACTGCTGTTTCTGGTATATCTGCAGTAAACAGGCTCAAATTCACTTTTGTTACCAAATTTTAATAAGACTTACCTAAAAATATGGGGAAAAAGGGAATGAATTCTGTGCATCTTCTAAGGAGTCAATGTTCCCATGGAACCTTTGATAGAGTTAGCTGTTGGATAAATGCTGATGTTCTAGTTTTCTATAGGTATGGTAGTATAGATGTAACAACAGAAACATCTTCCTTCAGTGACCTACATCTCTGCTAAGGGAATCTGACTGTTTGGGTGCAGCTGCAGAAGCTCTTTTCAATGTAGAAAAGCTTATAACTTCTAGCAAAATTTTGGAGTTCAGTATTGCTTTAATATAATGGTCTGTGATTGTGTGACTGGAAATTTTGTGACCATATTACTGTGGGGTATAACTAAGTGTGTATAATGTTTCTTCTGACTGATGCGATACATTTTTCCATTCTTGGTGTATCTAAAGTCATCTTCTTCCTGCCTTGCAACCTCCTTACTATAGGAGTGGATGCATCTAGAAGAATGGAGTTTTTGCTTCTGGAAGGGCTACAGGTGGATGTTCTGAAGAAAAATACTTGTTTTGCAGAATAAGTTGTGACAAATAAGTAGTTCTTATTCTTTCTCTTCCAGTTGAGCACATTCTGGGTTTTGGAAAGAGTCAGCTTGCTATCTTTCAATTGTTGGTTTTTTAACATTCTTTGCTTATTTGTACTTCACTGATGGCTCTAAAGAAGAAAAACTTCAATAGATTGATTGCTTTTCCACAATTATCTAAAACCACCACCCAGCACATGGAACTTCATCTTTCTTACTCAGGCTCTCCACCTTGTATAACTATTGATATGCTGTCTTTACAGTCTTCAAGATCCAGAGGAGGCACGGGACCAATTTCATCTGGCCAGACTGAACTGCAAGAAATTTGCTTTTGTGCATGTGGCTTTTGCACAGTTTGAGCTATCACAAGGTGTGTAGATAAACCTGTTTGGTGCTCTGGGTTTTGATGTTTTAAACTTCTGCTCTGTTACATAATTTGCAAGGAAACTGACAGGTTTTGAATTGGAAAAAGAAAAATCTGGATTTCCTTTTTTTCTGACTGAAATTTAACAGGAATATCTGGTTTTAAGCACAGTTCATGGTAGGTTTTTTCTTTTTAGATAGAACTCAAGATGAAAATTGGCGGTGATTTCCCCCCCCCCCCATCTTTGATCTTGTGGTGTGTAAGGCTCTTGCTGTGTTGAAAAATTATGCTCAAATTTGGATGGTAATTTCCCTTTATATACTTTCAGCTTGCTTGTGGAAGAAATGATCTCCTTCCAAAGAATTTTCCAACTGGAGATTTGTGGTGTTTTTAGTTTGGTGTGGGTGGTGTTGTTTGTTGTGTGTGTTTGGTTGGTTGGTTGTTTTGTGTTTTTTTTTTTGTTTTTTTTTTTTTTTTTTTAATTAAACTAAAATGTGCCGTAATTTGGTCCAATTAAATGTTTCCCTCTGCTACTCAGGTTAAGTAGCTAACAATTGGGGTTTGATTGATTCTTCTGTTTCCTGTTCCACTGTTGAACATTCATGTTGGGGCAGTGGAGATGGTTCGTATCATCTTTGCTTCATAAATGGTGTGGACTAACTTTGACAGTATCATTGCTGACATGTTCCAGCTGGGGGACAGTTTGTTAGTATTTAAAATAGAATCATAGTCGTTGCCATATGGTGCCATACAACAATGTTTTAGGCAAGCCATTCTGAGAGCGATGTCTTAAAAATTCTGGTTTCCTTTTTTCCCCCCTGTATCTTGTTCCTTGATGTACTGGATCTGGCTTGGGCAGGATTAAGTTTCTTATATGAAGCTGTGTTTTAGATCTGTGACTATAACAGTGTTGATAACACGCCAAGTGTTTTAACTGTTGCTGAACAGTGCTTGCACAGCATCAAGGATTTCTGTTTCTTGCTTGGCCTCTTCTCTGCTTGAAGGCTGGGTGTGGACAAGAGGCTGGCAGGGGATGCAGCTGGGACAAAAGGGATATTTCATACCATATATAGCATCATGCTTAGCAATAAAAAACTGCTTGGGAATAGCCTTTTCTCAGTAGCAGATGTTTGGAGACTGGCTGGGCATTGGCCTGCTGGTAGGAGGTGATAAATGATTACTTTCGTACCACTTGTTCTTTCCTTTCTTTTTCCTTCTCTTACTAAACTCTTTGAGACTTTTTTTTTCTTTTGCTCTTCCAGTTCTCCATCTAGACTGTTCTAGACTATTATGAGTTATGCTCTAATATATCTAGAACAATAGGTCTTCAATACTTTAGGTCAGTAGTCTACAAAGCTCACCTGGGCTTATATCACTTCTCTCCTATTGTGTGTAGGTGATGTGGCTGTGGTACTTAGTAGTACACAACTTTCCACCAGAAATGTGCTGTCTACCCACAGGATCATATTTTTGGGTGTTGCCTTAATCTCCCTTCCATGGGTGATTTGAGCAGTAATCTATTTCACTCTATTTGTTTATTCCCTTTAACAGCTTGCTCTATCCAGAAAGACAAGCATGTTCCCTTAAAGCTGTTTTCTTCTTTGAAAGAAGCAGCCTTGATGGATATATTGTGAGGTTTTTGTGGTTTGTTTTTCCTCATGGTTTTCGTCAGCATCATGCAAGTTGTTGTATACTGCCTAGTATGAGAAATTATCCCCAATATTAACTATGATAAATAATTAAAGGAGATTAAACTGTTTGTTTACACTCTGGACTGTGAATACATCTGATTCAATATTCTGTTTACTTCTGTTTTTTTAGGTGAAACCATTACCAATGGAAAATAGACTTTTGGTCCCGTACTTTCTTTAACTGTATTTTAGGATACAACTTAGGTGTTTAAAGTGCCCCATGAAGCAGAGCCATTTTATTAAAATCAGTAACTAGATACTCAGTCGTCTTGGGCTTTCTTTCCATTACAGACTTTATTATTTATTTCCTTTATTTGTAACTGTTCCTTACTGCTTAGGAAATGTGAAGAAATGTAAGCAGCTCCTTCAGAAAGCTGTGGAGTGCTCTGCTGTTCCACTAGAAATGTTGGAAACTGCTCTACAAAACTTGGATTCACAAAAAAAGCAGTTGCTTTCAGATGAGGAGAAAGAGAACATAGCAGGTAATTGCAGTTACTTAAAATGCTGGTAGAGTTTATGCTTGTTGTAATTCTAGATTGGAAAAAATACTTTCTAATGTTTATCCATTCTAGATAACTCATAATCTGCTATGGTCTAATAAGCAGACATATTTATCTGCCTCAATCTTACTCCTTCAATGCTTGGTTCCATTTTCAATGCAGTAACCTGTAGCTTGTAGGAGCTATAGGATTTGTTTGTTTTTTTTGTTTTGTCGTTTTTTTTTTTTTTTTTTTAAACAAGTACAATCCGCCCTATTATCTAAATAATTCTAACTAATTTACCTACAGTATCAAGCACACAAGAGTCTGGACTTCAGAGCATATTTGGAAATCACAGAAGCATGAAAAGGAATGATTGTGGTGAAAATCCTTCTACTGTTACCAGACTTTTGCTTGGGTAATGGCTTGATTTCTTAACTTTAATGTCTTAAAACATCATTTAAACCAAAACTAAATGATGTTGTGTTTTCTTTTTTTGACTTCAGGGAGGAAAGATCACAGGAACTTGATGCTCTAGTTAATTACCACAATCCATTAAGACCACTAAGCAAATCTAACCAGGTAGAGCATGTAACACTTTGTTTCAAAATCTCAAACTTATCATTCTGCTTTACACAATTGATAACTTTCAATTTCTTCTAGATCTGCCCGTTTGGGAGGGTTCCTGTTAAACTAGTAACTGATGATGATGATGATGATGTGGAGAAGACAGGTATCCCACTTACAGCCAGTGTTATGAAGAGGTATAGTTGCTGGGTTTACTACAGCACAATAGATTTTAATACTTCTTTTCAACAGTGTTTTTATTGGACAATGGAAATGTAAGATGTTAGTATTAAAATTGACCTAAATATTAAGAGTCTTGTAATGTCAGATTTTTGAATCCTCATTTTTAGCATAAGTCATATGATAATCATTACATTAAGAGAGCAGTCATACTTGTTTTATTGAGGAGTAACTGTTCAGCAGTGGTGGAATCTGTCAATTAAAATAGCACTTTGCTACATGTTATCTGACTGTAGCAGAGCCTGAAAGTAAACAAAGAAGAGCTTTTTTCTCCCCAGTGAAGCCTGTTGTGCTAACTTTCGTCCTCCCTTACTTCTGTGTGATTAAATACGTGCTGAAATAGGAACTCTGGGGAGAAACATGTAGCTAAAGGGTAAAATCCACATACTTAAACTCTCAGAAGTTAACCAACGCATGATATTCTGAATCTGCGGAAGTAGTGGATTAAGGTATTTTGCATAATAGTATTCTGTCAGGTTTTAAAAATACCACACCACTGGGGTTTAGGATCCTAGCCATAGCTTATCACTGTTTTCTATGGAAGACAACGAATTGTGTCATTTCGTAGAATGATGTTGGTAGTGCTAAAGGGTTTTTTTTGTGTTGTTTCTTACTTGGCTGTCAGAATAGATCTGCCTTTCTGTACATCTGAAACTTGTAGCCAAAAGTCTTTGTACAACTACCTTTTTCATCTGGTTCACAAAAGGTGATCGCTACATTGTATGTTGGTATGCAGTGTAATTAACAATGGTGTTTCAATAGGCAAATATCTGGCTCCAGGCATATGGCCTTCATCGCACCTTTTCCACTATCGGAACCAAAATCTAGTGGGAGTAATTCATATGACCTGGGAGACTTAAAGGTAACTCAAATCTCATTTTAAAATAGGTATAAGGAAATCTACCTGACAGTCTATGGTATTGGAAAAGAAAATAACATTTTTTTTTCAATTCAAGTGAAAATTCTACCTTATTTCTACTGTTGAGTAATCAGTTGTGAATAGAAACGTTTGATGTGGCTTTTATGGTTGAAAACTGTGGTGCACAATAAAGTCCAGAATAGAAAACACTTAGCTCTTTGTTATAGAAACTTTATGATGGAGTTTCAGAATGTTGATGGATTTAAAAATAGCATCAGTAATACTTGTTTGTTACCACAAGGAAATGTCTTCTGGACACCGTGCTTAGGATGTTCTTTGATTATTTTCTTAAGATGCTTTTTGGTTTCTTTAGTCCTTAAAGAAAAAAAATTCTTTACAGTTGCAGATGTTGGATGAGAGCAGCTCAGAAACAGCTATCAATTCAACTGTAACTCTCAAAGCCAAAAATGGTACAAGTCTTGCAGTGAAAAAAGAAGGTAACTATTAATATGTGATGTTTTTGTAGTTCTTATAGGTTGCCTGTATTTTCAGACAACAGACTCCAAATTAGAAGTATTGCAATAAGCCTATCATCAGTGCTTTATAAACCTGCTCAGTGTCCCAGGATGTTGTAGTGCAAATTCTGAATATGATCTTGTTCTGCATGTTGGAGATTTTTTCTACTAGTATCCTAAAATTTTCCTAAGAAAGTTGCTGTATTACTACACTGAACTGAATATGAATCCTGAAGATTACATTAATGCCTTTTAATGCCTGATTCCAGTAAGTCAATTGTGTTTGTTTGTTCTGACACAGAAAATGAGGTGAAACTGTGGGAGAAATCTGACGGAAAGTTTCAAGTACTAAATATCAAGTCTTTTTAATAATCTGACTGTTGGTTTTTTGTTTGTTTTGGGATTTTTTTTTCCATCAGAAAATAAAGACCAGCATCAGGAGCTGAAGATACCGGAGCCAAGGAGTCTTGAAAGTCAACAGCAACCATCTAGTTCTGGTGAAAGCTATAGAAAGCAGTTGGATCAGATTAGATTAAACTGCGTTAACACCAGGAAAAAATGGCAAAGTCAAGAAGTGACACAGAAAAGCTGCTATAGAGAGGTAACAGGAATATGTAGTGGTTTTCTAGCAGCAGCAGCCTTCACATGTTGAAAAAACAATGTCTTTGTTCTGGATTGTGGCTTCTTGTATAGAATAATATGATGCTTTGCCCCCTGTAGGAAAAACACTCGAGCCTTGAACAATCCAGTCATCCTGTTTCAAAAGGATTATCACCACCAGATGCTGTTACTAAGAAAAGTGATCCATTACATGTTTGTGGAACACCAAGCACCAGATCCAGTGATTATATGGACTGGTAAGCTACTTCTTTGAGCTGTGCATATGAATGGTAGTCAATATCTGGGAAGACTTTAGTGGTTTTTATCAAGGTTTAAGTTTTTCTTCAGATAGCAAACGATTTCTGAGTGTTTCTAACACTTGATGTCGAATGCCTGACTTTAAAATTCAGATTGCATTTTGGGAACTTTGTCTTCCTTGTCAGCTCTTCAGCATTTGGAGGTTCACCATCAAATCATTAAATCCTTGTTAGAGCATTTACCTCTTTAATGCCTGCTATGTGATGCTATCTTTTGGAAGCCTTGTTTTCTTGGGGCTGACAGGCTTTTTAGATTGATAACTGCATATCAGCCTAGTTTCTGTGATGCAAGTGTTTGTGGGTTTAAAAAACAAGTGTAAGGAGTCTAGATGCTTGCAGAATTGAGCACTCAAGTTAGGAAATGCTAGCATTTGTTTGTCCATGTAATCGGAAATTAGGCATAAACCCCATGTCATATATTGATAAATCTTTCTAATTATATGATTAGTTACTATTTTCATAAGTCTCTGGGATGAATCACATAGGTCAAGTATGTCATGAGTAACCACTGTTCCTGTTGGTATGACCTCTGTAGCTGTGGAATTTGGAATACATGTAGTGAATAAAGCACATCATCTCATAGTAGAACTTGATAAAAGTAGTCCTTGAATAGATTCTGTTCTTGCTTCTTTCAAACTTTGGTAATACAAATTTTTGTAAACTAAGCTGTCATTACACACAGTATGTACAGCACATGGTTAATATGCACGATTATTGAGTGCTTTTGTGTTCGGTGAGAACCATGCTTTTGACTTTTTTTTTCTGAACTTTGTTTTATTATCCACAAAAAAGTCCTAGGCATATGAATTCTTTTCCAATTCTGATCTTATGACTTTATGTACATACTGTAGGGGAAAAAAGTGTATTTGATAACATAACTAAATGTACAGTAAATACAGCAAGGGAACAAATAAAAAAATATCAAGGATTTCTTGCAATCTTTAATTTTCTTAAATACATGATGTTTCTGCTCATATACAGCATAGCTACAGCTCTCAAAAAACCCTTTCATGATTGCCTTGAAGTTGTTTGTCTCAATATGCTCACTTAAAATTCCTCTTCGTTTAAAAAAGTTTTGAATAAAGAACAGTAAGCTGAAGAAAACCAAATGTTGGCTTAAACTATCTTGTTTTACGGTCTTCTAGTTATATGGTGCTTTCATTTTCCAGTTTGTGGGGAGTATCCCTGTATCCAGCTAGTATCTGGATATGGAGATTTAATTGGTTACTATGTTCAGAAATAATTCCCAAGTATGTTCTAGTTGAAGTGTACTTCCAAAGGACTTCAAAGTGAAGAGATTGAAGTGGTCTTAATGCTATTGAATGTAGCAGAGGCTTAGGTTTTGCTGGTCAAATAGGGTTTAACTTTCAAGAAGCACTGTAGCTTTAAACTTTGTTAGAATAATTTAAAAATACAACTAAATGCAAACATTGTTCATAATTTCTTTTAGTTTCAGAACGCCAGTTGTAAAGAACAACTTTCTACCAGGATGTCAAATTTCTACTCCCTACAGCCAGCTCCCATATTTCCTACCACATACTCCAGCAACTCCATTTCAAAACCAAGTTGGTTTGCAGGTAACTATTTTAGGCTGTCTTCTACTATTTTCAGTACATGTTTTCATTGGAGATTTCTTTAGGTTAAATATATGTATGTATTCTTATCTAAAGTACTGTTCATCTTTCTGGATGAGAAACTAAAAGTACTCTGCTTGTTTTCCAGATAACTGTTTCTTCATAAATTCTTCATATATATGTCTGAGTTTAAGTAAAAAAAGTCAGCTCTTGAAAAATCAGTTCACTTGTCAAAATACTGAAGTCTATGTCTGAAATTTTGCCTCTTCCGTGAAGTAGGACCTGGGAAGGCTCAGAAGTAGAGTGACTATTCTTGTTCTGTTATGGTTTTATAGTGGTACTACCGACTAACTACAGTGGAGTACCTATAAAGAGAAGCAGCCTGTGTTTAAAAAACACATGAGTCTGAGGGAGGTAAAGTATGAAGAGTTATGTTCCTTCTTCATTTTAATGCATTTGTAGTGGCCTGAGATCATGTGAAATTGATTACCTTAGGTGGGTTGCACATTCAGGTAGACAGAATTGGGGATAGGTTTAATGTATTTAAAATATGTGGCCCTTCTACAGCTTGGTGTAGTAGCAGGTATAGGCAATACAGGCTGTTTCAGCTTCACAGCACTGAAATTTGCTAGTTAGTAATTAACTTCAAATAAAATAGTAGGTGCAGTACAGCTATGATTATGCTGTGACTGAAAGTCTCTTAGATAATCTAGGTATGATAGTTTCCAACACTATCTGTAAAGAGGGGGGTGTCTCTAATGAACTGAGAAACCTGCTTAAAGAACACCCTTTTCTTGACTTCCAGTGTGAAAATCATTCGTATCTTTTTGAGTTTAATAATGTTACATGCCAAGTGATGATCATTATACAAATACTTTAGCTATGATGATCTTTAGCTTTCAGTTAGAGTTTAGCCTTACTACACTTTATCTTGCTTGGAAAGACCAAGTCAACTTAAAGCATGTTAACTTAATAAAAAGTAGAGCTTTACCAAGTACTGCTGCATGTATAATAACCAATAGATATTTTCTTACCTCTTTCTGTATTTACATAGGTTCCAACTTCTATACCTTCACATGAATGTCTTGCTATAAAAGGAAAAGTTTATACAATATTAAAGCAAATAGGTAGTGGAGGCTCAAGTAAGGTAAGATACTTTTCTATCCTTTTACAGTCACTCATATAATAGTAGTTGTATTGTAAGCATACATGTCGAAGTCATCTAAAGAGTGCCTCGTACTAACATGTACAAAGTGTTTGACTCGGAACCTAGACTTTTTTTTCAATGCCGTGCTTAGACTTTATCCCTCATGGACGCAGAAGAAATCTAGTACACAGATTAGATTTGGTACAATGCAGTTTTAACTGAGTCTTCAGATAGCCTGCAATAATAACTGAATTAATGTATTATGAAAACCATTCTTCAGTTATTACAGGCTGTTAAGCACAGTACTATTCATTTTAGTGGAGAAATGAAGTAAATCCAGTGAGTAGATAAAGGGAGTGGTGTTGAAGTTCACTGTTTATCCTTTACAAACCTCTGAACAGATGTGATCAGAATATTGAATGGAAGCTACAGATCTGGGAAAAAGTGATTGCCCAACTGTCATGAGCATTTAAAAAAATTTCACTTAAATCAGTAAAAAATGGTGGGAGCCCACTTCCTTTTGCTTTCTGCATGAAGGCCTGAAGGTAGATGGGTTGAATATAATTTCTGTGGTGGAGCAAGTATTAAAATTCCTAACAAAATTGGTGTTTCTAAGATGTGCTGCGTTATTACTGTACATCTTAATTTGAGGCACTATTGTTTAGGGTGGTGTGATTACATTGTTGGGAACTACATGGTTTGTAAGGTTGATTTAAAGTTCCTGAAGTGGAGAGACCATCCTCTATTACTTCTGTAACTTGTGTGAGAAATGGAGTGTTAAGTATGACTGGAGTGGTGAGTGAGTTGCTTTTTGTAAAGAAATTTGAGGTCATAGGAGTTTGGGAAACAGTTCTGGCAAAATCTCTTGTTCAGAAGAGAGAATTATAACAAAAAATACCCCCACAGTTTTATGTGACTTATATTTCTCTTCTGTCTCCCACACCTCTGCTTCACCTATTGCCTCAATCTGTGAAGATTGTATTACTAGTCACAGGGACAGCCTAAGGACTTCTGTAAGGGACATTTGATACATGCATGCATTGGTTAATCCTCAGTAACAGCCTATGCAGTATTTAATCTGCAGCATATGGAAAAATCCAGCTGCCTTCCTTTCATCCACTAGGTGGGTGACCTTATCACTGAAGGATATCAAATCAGTTAAAAGGATTTGCCCCTTGTCAACCCACGTTGACTGTGCCTGATGATTGCATTGTCCTTTAAATGCCTTTCAATAGTACTCAGTATGATCTTCGTGATTTTGCAAGGAATTGAGGTTAGGCTTAACAGGTGTGTGGTTTCCTGTGTCTTCCCTCATGCCCTTCTTGTACAGTGGAGTAACATGGGCTCCAGTCAGCAGAGACCTCCACAAAGAAAAGGTTCTTGTGTTGGCAGTGTGCAGTTGTAGAATGAGGCAGGATGGAGGAGGGCCTCTGCATGTCACTTAGTCCAGTGGTGGTCTTAAAGCAAGGCCAAAATAAAGCAGGTTGCTCATAGAATCATAGAATAGTTAGGCCTTTTGCAGTTGAGTTTTGAGTACTGCCAAGGATGGAGATGCCACAGCCTCTGTGGATAACCTGTTCCCCTGTTTGTCTACATGATGGCGAAAAAATTTCCTGATATCTAATTGGAGTTTTGCTTGATATTAGCTATGCCTGTTGCATCTCATAATGTGATGGTTCAAGATGAATCTGTCATTTACATACCTTCTTGCTGAATAGCTGAAAACAGCAATAAGATTCCCTGTAGCCTTCTCATCTTAAGACTAAACAGACTCAGTGCCCTCAGCCTCTGATGTGCTGTTTGGTCTAACCTCAGTCATCTTGGTGTGATGAAATGGATGTGTGGTGTCAGGTCAAATCCTTAGCTCTGTGGGAGGTGTTATTTTGTGTTCTTTATCTTAGGAACATTTCAGACTTGTGATCAAATAAACCTAATGAAATATAATGTACCAAGATGGTTTCTGATAGAGGGCTGTTTGTTGTAACTGTTGGCTTCTTTATTTTTTCCTTATGCTGCCTAGTGTTGTTTCTTCCTTTTGAAAAGGTAGAGTTTTCTTTGAAATTCTGGCTGTGGTGAGATAAAGAACCATAGTAAATCAGAACTAGGATTGAATGAAGTTATTAACTGATACTGTTTTGCAGGTGTTCCAAGTACTGAATGAAAACAAGCAACTGTATGCTGTCAAGTATGTGAATCTAGAGGAAGCTGATCAACAGACTGTTGAGAGCTATAAGAATGAAATTGCTCATTTGAGTAAACTACAGCAACATAGTGATAAGATCATCCGCCTTTATGGCTAGTGAGTAAACAATTTTATTAAACTGGTATCTCTTTATGTAAAGAAGTTGCCTTAAATTTTACCATAAGTATATTTATTTATTTTCAGTGAAATTACTGATCATCATATCTACATGGTAATGGAGTGTGGAAATATTGACCTCAATAGCTGGCTCAAAAAGAAGAAAAAAATTGATCCATTGGAACGAAAGAGCTATTGGAAAAATATGCTGGAAGCTGTTCACACAATCCATGAATATGGTATTAAATAATTCTAGGTATTTGTATAGGTTATGTCAGATATGTTTAAATTTTGGAGGTGGTACTGCTTTAATTTTGGTGCAAGCCTAGTGATCTTCAAAGATGGGTGTTTATTGTCTTATGAAAAATTTTCAGTGAGACAAGACAAATCATGATGCAGAGGTAGACTGATTTTGCAAACTTAAAGGGATCTAAAAGTATTACCATTGTATAATGCTTTCTATTGCATTGCAATAGACTACATTCTACACTCCAAACGCAGCTTTTCCATTAAACTCAGATTTCAGCCACTCATCCTCTCCAGAAAGCTATCATTAATATCAAAGCTTCTTACACAGCTCTGTTGTTTTACTTTGACAAAGTGCATCAGCTTTTTGTCATAGGTCTTCAGGTCTTCCTTTCTTCTTTACCTATGTAGCTGGAGTGCATGCATCTGTATTGTTTGGCTTGTAATATAAAGGAGAGCAGATTTGGATCCTTTTCCTACTTAAGAAAAAAAAAAGTGAAGAGATCTGCACATATAGCAGAGAGCATCACCTCATTACAGCACAAGAACACTGGAACATTCAATAATACAGAAAGGCAGCTAAAACACAAGCTACATACTGTTGTGATGTGTCCTTGAAGTGAACAGTTCTGCAAAATATAAAGACAGATTGGTTGATTATATGGGTAATAACCAAAAATCATAATAAATCATGGAAGTAGGGTGTTCGAGGTCAGTCGTGTAATCCTCAGTGAATGGTACATTTGAGATAAGGAAGCAGAAAATATCAGACTAAGCAATATAATTCTATTAAGTACCTGCTTAGCTGATAATTGAAGAGAAAGCTACAGGAGTGGATAAGCCACTGAATTGTTCCAGAATAGCAGTTCAGTATGGCAGTGTAGGCATACAGCCTGTCCCTAACTGAGAGAAACTATGCAACTCAAGTCTCTTGGAGTTATTTTGGGGTACCTGCAGATTTGACTAAGTAATAATTCAAACTATAAGCTCATGCAAGTCTTAACTGTTTAAAAAGAAATGGAAACACTTATGAAATTTGCAAAGAATTAATGTGGTTTTGGCCTGGTAAAACCGATCTGCACCTTATCTCTATGCAAGGGTTATAGGAACTGAGAAATAAAAAAACCCCATAGTAGTAACTTGGATTAACTAAACCTGGGTTGACTTTAAATTTTTATTTTTTTTTTTTTTTTTAATATGCAGGCATTATTCACAGTGATCTGAAACCAGCAAACTTTCTAATAGTTGATGGGATGTTAAAGCTAATTGACTTTGGCATTGCAAACCAAATGCAGCCAGATGTGACAAGCATCATTAAAGATTCTCAGGTGACATACTTCTGGAAAATTGATGTAGACTTCGCTAGCATCTATAGTGCTATAGTACTTGCTGATGATGTTAATGTAGTAATTTCAATGAATGCTGAACTTTTATGCTGGCTGGTCTTTATATATTTGTATAAATATTCATATATATGAGTTTTTACATGTTTTAATAACAATGGCCTTCAGCTTTACTGGAAACAAATTTGCAGGATGCTTTTCAGTGTTTTGGGAGAAAAGTCTGACTTTTTATCAAGTGAGTTAATTTTAAGTGCATGTTTTACTTGAATAGTTTTACATTTTTATGCCTAGGTTGGCACAATGAATTATATGCCACCTGAAGCAATAAAAGATATGTCTTCCTATGGAGAAAATGGGAAATCTCGATCTAAGGTAACACATGATCTTTTTTTTCCTCCTATTCCCTTCATGTTAAGAAGAAAATGATTCAGCCATATATTTTAAGACTTAGTTTTCTCAAAATCTTCCACTGAAACCAGAATACAAGAAAATCCATTGTGCCACAGTGATGATCAAAGATTGAAGGCTAAGTTTATTCCTCTCCCTACCTAAAAGCATTTTGCAGACAGTGTTTGGAAAAATAAGTGCTGAACCAATCAGTAAAATTGCAAGCAAATATAGTCATACTTTCAAACTCTTTTAAGTGAAAGGCAGGTTTTGGAAGAAATGTGTGATACCTGATAAGGTCTTTAAAAGATGATGCAATGAAGTCTAGTGTTTTAGGGGGAAACATGTATGAGTTCTGGGTATTCTATTCTGTGCTATGGAGTACTGTGTATTGCAGAACTCTATAATTTCACCAAGGCAACAGAATGTGAATGATGAGGAAAGTACTGAAAGAAAGCAATTCCACCTTGGAAGTCAAACTTCAGTTAATGGGGGTACATAGTTTTATGGAAAAGTGTTTAAAAAAAAAAATCTCATGTATGTGCATATGCACACTCAAAGATTGTTTGACTTTTTAACAGTTAAACAGAAGTGTTACTATGTAGTGAATCACAATCTGCCTAAACCTTCCTAAATACAGTGTTTTATAGAAGGATTTCTTTTGTTAAGGATGAGACTTTTTAACCTTTTTTACATATTTAAAAATTGCATGCCGAGTGCAGACTTGTTCTGGAGCTCAGCTGATGTAAGCAGAATTCAAACTAACCATTGTGCTGGGAGTCAGGCTCCCTGTGTGCCCCTTTCCCCACCTCCCTCTTCACCACTCCCCCACCTTTATGTGCTTTTCTTAATGTGCTTCAGCTTCAATAGAAGAAGTAGAAAGTCCTCCTGTCACGAACAGCACGGGGGTGACTGAAATATGGATCTGAATCCATTAAACCCAGAGGAACTGAACTCTGGCTTCCCACTTCAGAGACATAGCTGACATGTCTTACTGGTTTCTGAATGCTTTTATTTGTATTTACTCATAAATCTGAAATTAGAATCCTGCTGTTCACAACTACCTATGATTTTATTTTAACATCGAGTAAAGTGATTTTTGAAGATAATAAAAATAGGTTTCTTACAGAATATTGGTGAATGAAGACACATCGCTGTCTTAGTAGATAATGGCATGTCTTGGGTGATTTTTGTGTGATAGTTACTAAGATCTGTTATGTTAAACATATACTGTTAAGTGAAATGACTGTATAAATATAAGATAAATTGACTGAAGGGACAGTTCCTTAAGTGAGAACTAGTCTTTTTTTTCTTTCTTTTTTTTTGCTGTATTAGATAAGTCCCAAAAGTGATGTGTGGTCATTGGGATGCATTTTGTACTGTATGACATATGGAAGGACTCCATTTCAACATATAACAAATCCAATGAATAAAATGCATGCTATTGTTGATCCTAGTTATGAAATAGAATTTCCAGATATTGCTGAGAAGGATCTTCAAGATGTGCTAAAGGTAACTGTCCCTTAAGATTAATATTGAGTCAATTAATAGCAATTTTTTAAAGCATATTTTCATAAACTGTTGTGCTTGAGAAGCTTCTTTCACAATTAAATGCTTACTGCTACTTGTAGTGACAGGCCTTGTTCCAAAAGAATTAAGTTAGAGCTGCTTTTCATATAGCTTCCATGATAAAAGTTTGGCTTAACTCCCTTGGCTGAGCAACATAAAGTAAATAGAGTAGCTTTTGTGCTGACCGTCCATTTCCCTCACTCTGCATGTCTGTCTGCTTTTAAAACTTCGTTCATGCTTTTACTTGAGCCCTAATTGTGTTGCTCAGCAGATAATAAGAGAGTAAGCTTTTATGGATTTCAGTTTAACTCTCAAATCTCAGTGTCTTTGTGCTGTTTGGAATAAAAGAATATTGTAGATTCTGGTCTTCACCTCTTCTGACATTTTTGCTTGAGTAAAACAGGATACTAAACTTTAGAATAAAGATAATTGGTAATGAAGGCAATTAGGTTAATTTGGGTGTTTCTGAGTATGTAATTTCACAGTAAGTAGTTCTGACGTGCATCTACGTGGTCCTTTAAAGATACTCACTGTTAATTCCTATGAAAAATCTTAATTTATAGGCAAAGCATGTTTCTCTCTTTTCAATTGCAGCACTGTTTAATAAGAAACCCTAAACAAAGAATATCTGTTTCGGAGTTGCTGGTACATCCCTATGTTCAAATTCAAAGTCATTGTCAAACAGGTACATTTTTATTAAATAGTATTTATAATTCAGTTTAAGAGAACAAAATGCTTTACTCTTACATGCACATACCACTTGTTGGTGTAACAATCCATTTTGTTTGCCTGTGTATGTTTCAGAAAAGATTTCAGTGTTTTAATTCTTAAGGCTTTTACAAACTGCTCTGGTAATTTATACATAGTTGTGTACAGCTTTAGCATAACTAAAAATTAATTGCAGGTGTTCCAAATGCAAAAGGAACAACAGAGGAAATGAAACGTATCCTTGGCCAGCTCGTTGGCTTGAATTCTCCCAACTCTATTTCTAGAGCTGCTAGGGTAAGTAAATTGTTTGTGTGAGACTACATGTTCCTGCAAAGGTTAGGATATCTGGTAGTGAAAGCTGACAGAATATGTACATCGGAGCTTTAACTACAGCTGGAAAAACATTGCACATCATAGTGCTTTTGTTTACAAGCATGCAGAATCTCCACATCCTTCTGAACAGGAAGGGTTGAAAGGTTGATGGTAATCTTGATTTTTAGCTTTTTTTTTTTTGCTTCCTTTCCATCTCCTAGTACATCTGTATTGCTTTATTTCCAAGTCCACCACTGCCCTAGCATTTCCTCTCTAAAATAGTCCATACTGTGCAGCCTTGCTTTTAAGCTGTCCAAAACTGTAGTAGGTCTTCTAATTTAAGAACCATCATTATGGAGAAATGATCTAGTGTGCAGGGTTTTGGACTGCAACTGTTCTTACTTCCTTGAAGTTGCTGAATTGTTAGGACATTGATACGTGTAGATTAGTCCCTGTATGTTTAGGTATTCCAGCCTCTGTTTACTGCCTGAAAGAAGAGCTTGGTAACTCCTTACCAACTTGGTTCTTCTCACCTAAGCTGTCTTAAGTACGTATATATTTTCTGATTTGAGAGAGAAATCTTACTATGTGGTCTGGAATATTTTGGTATGTGATTACTTATTTCAAGTGTCAATGTTTGTTACAAAGATATAGTTTGAATGCATATGTGACACAGCTGTGTTTTTTATTAACTTTCAGACTTTATATGAACAGTGTAACAGTGGTAAAAGTCTTGATGTATCGGCATTTGCAAAACTTGGGAGTCAAAAATCGCGGACCACAAAATGATGTACTACTGTTCAAGATGCAACAGAGATCTGGTCTGTTCAAAAGATATTTTATGCTGCTAGCTTTTTTAAAAGACACTCGGCATAAAGCTCACATTTTTAAATGTTCTTTACGTCTTCTGGTAATGCTTGCGGATCATTAAAAAGAATTTGAGTGAATGCTTTTTCACTGTGGGCTCTTTCACTTTGCATGGCACTTGACTTGAACAATGAAAATCACTAGTTGGTGATTATGGTCTTTGTTACTTATAAAGCACAACAATGTCTGGAGTACAAAAACTTGTGTGAGAATCTTCAAGCTCTTGTCCCCTCCTGAAGCTAAACAAAGAAGTTCCTAAACTGCCAACTGGTGTACATGAAAAACATGCAAGTGTTTTTTGACATACCTCCTATGGCATGAATACAGGGTATTACGCTGCCCTGTTGTTTGCCAACAAATATGTCTGTTAATATGTGGTCAGTTACAATGGTGACATACACATGTAAATGCCACCTAGTTTTCGAGGTGTTCCTGTGGTTAAGTGACATGATGGAATTGCTGTTCTGAAGTTATATGAATCAAATGGCATTTGTTCTATTAAAACTGCTGCTAAAAATCCAATAGGCTTTTCAAATTTCAAAATAATAGAGACCCCATCAAGATTAATGATGGTTGGAAATCACTAATTTGGATTTTTAAAAGCATTCATACTAAGTACTCTTTAAAATGTACCAAATGTAGGAGGACTGGTTTTTATGTGATCGTTGGTGGGTTGATTGGGCTTTAAAAGCTACATTTCTGGTGTAAGAATTCTAAATTTACCCAATTCAAAGATGTTAAAATATCTAATAGCTTTAAATTGGGGGAAAAAAACAACCCTTGCCTTCGGTTTCATGACAGCTGCCATGGTGCCCTTTGCCTTCTAAATTGTGGAGCTCTCTATCGATCAAGCATTTTAAATAGTCTGTTTTGCCTATCATTCATGATAGCCCTGCTTATGAAGAGCCCAACTTCATTATTGAAATGTCTCTTTCATTGTTTAGCTGTGTGAATTGAGTAAAAGTGAATTGAGTATGACATACTCCTTGACCAATAATGGAAAACACTCGTCAGCACAAGGGAAGCTTTCCTTGACAGTTTTCTGCCTGTAGGATTACTCAGGTCATGTTACCTTACCTTCAGACGAGCACTGAAATATTTCAAAAGTCTTTGTGATAGCTTTTGTTATTTGTGTTTAAGTCTGGATAACTCCGATTGGGAAAAGATGTGATAATGTAATGCTTCACAGACTGAAGTTGAGAGAAATTTGTCTTTTATTGTAAGCATGTATTTAAATAGTCACTTCTTCCCCCTTCTGAGTATTTTTTTTCTTTCAGATTTTCTGGATTCAAAGGACTTTTTTATTTTTCATTTCGAATGTCAGGTTTCACTGATGTGTTACTACCAGTTGATTTCTGTACCTTTTGTTTCTGTGACTTCTGAAAGATCAAGGTTCAAAAGTCTGAGCAGCTTGCTGCTGCTGGTTACCTGTGAACCCCAAACCTGGAAGAGTACTGCGAGATCTTCATAAGGCCTCTGAAGAAGCAGTGTAGTCTAGTTCAGTCTGCCAGGCTTTGTTACCCGACATTATGTATCCAAGCACTGGAGTGCAAATCAAGTGCCTGGACATTCTGCCTCCATGGTGGAGGTGCACTTCCGTCATCCGTATAACATCCAGAAGGTCAGCTTTGAGCATCACAAAACACTGGGTAGTTGTGGTTGATGTTCTGAGGATGTGAATATTATTCTTGAGGACTTTCGTTTGACCCTATGAAAGGGGAATTCCCACTGCCTTTGCCATGTTTATTAGGGCTGAGATACCTTTATGTTCTCTTTGTCTTGGTAAGCTTATCTTACACCTACAGTAATAAGCATATTGTACTGCATGTTTTATTCTACTTTCCCTTAGTGTTTATAAGGGATCGCACATTACTGACAACTTTAAAAGTTAAAGGAAATGCCTGGAATATACCTATTTCAACAGCAAATTTGGGAAAAGACTTTGTGTTCTTGTTATCTTTCCTGCCATTGATATTTTTTTTTCCAATTGACTTGATAGCCCTATAAGAACTAAAGAATGAGAGAAGAATAATGCACACTTTGATGTCAAATGATAAAAGAAACTTGGAAGTATTGTATTCTTTCCCAAACTTTAACTTTGATTTTTAAATGAAGTCTTCAGAGCTTGCTAATGTAATAAAAGCACCCCTTGATAGGTGGGAAACTTTGTTCTCAATTATCTCATATTCAAAGCAGCAAAACAACTCTTCGAATAATAAAAAGAGTTCTTTAATGAAGAACAGTATTTGTGTAATTTTTTCAGGCCTCTGCTTAATGTCTGTGTTTAAAAACCTCTTAAGCCCTCACCACCTTCAGTTGCCAGGGAAGGACTATCCTGCTGTGACAGAGCTAGTGCTTGTAAAAGAGCATTAACTCTTCTGGGGTGTGGTGTTCCTGTGTCTGTGCAACACCAGCCCTCTTTATTTCAGGTTAGCAGTGATTTGTGGGGTTACACAGGGATAGTGATTAGGGATGAGAACTACTTCTGATACCCACCCTTCTCTCCTCAGCCTGGCCTGGGAGGAGGGCAGAAGCAGGGGACAGAGAATGTGTGCTCACCCCTGTGATGGGGCACACACAGGAACAGCACCTGTCTCTTGTAAGGGCAAATTTGGAATGATAAACTTCAATCTAATTGTTATATGAAATGGGTTGTGGAGTCTCAATTAATCGTGTCCTTTGGGACAGGAGGCAGCTATCCCATATTTCTAGGGGAAAAAATGTAAAGATTTGTTCCATGTAATGGTTTTGTTCTTTCTAATTATTTTTTTTTTTTTTTTAATACCAGGTATTACTACTCCCATGGAAGTTCAGTGATATTTCAAGCACAATGAGTACATATGCCAATTGCACCCCACTTCCTCATAAATGTTAAAGTTAAAGCTTGAAGCTACTGAATTAAAACTATTAATGTTCTTTACCTTTCATTCTAGACAGTTTGGGAGACTATTTATGGTGTGGGAACTGAACCACTACCTCTGGCTTCCCCTGGAGAGGTGGGGGAAAGCATCAGTCTCTTCAGAGGAGTATCTTTACTCTGCAGAAACACCTTTTCATGAAGTGTTACTGAAATGTCTCCTAACTACTTGTCTAGATTACGTATCTTGAGATGTTTCTGCATAATTATTCTAATATTATAGTTGTTAATTTTTACCACATTACTTCTGTGGCTAGTGACTATGCAGAGAAGCAGTGCTATGTCTTGGGTTTTTTTCTGTTGGGGTGTAAGTTTTATCAATCCTTTCATTCCATGATTGCTAAAGAACCCACAGGAAATACAGCTGCTCTGACAGGGAGCTTATGAAAGAGGATGAAAGAGGACTGGGGCTGATGAGAGGCAGTGGGTTGTTATCAGTCATCAATTTGTAAATAAAACCTTTCCATTGCAAATGGGCAATTGATTTATGCTCTTCCCCTGCCTCAGTGACATGCCACAAGATGTGTACCTATCGTGGCAGCAGCTGCTTACCAGCCCTCAGTCTGTTGGTATTGGTTTTTCTTGCTTTACAGCCAACCCATCACCCTTTTCAAAGTATGGAACAGCTATGCAAGAGTAGCTTTAAAGGTCAGAAAACACCTACTAAATGGGTTGCTGCCCATCATGCATTACTGTCACCCTCAAGGCCACAGTTCAAGACATTGTCTATGTAAAAAAATGGGGAGAGAAGATGTCTGATTAAATTACAGGATGTCTTGTGATCACTGTTACTGAATACATGTATGAGATAGTGCTGTATCAGCTAATATTGAGATACCACAGCTGCACGAAGAGTGAAAAGGTAAATGAGAACACTTCAGTAAGTTACCTTTAGTAATTCCTGTTTGAAAAATGGGATCGGAGACTTACAACCTTTAAATCTAATACTGTCACCCACAAAGCTTTTACTTGGCAGCTAACTAAGAAAAGCTGAAGGGGGCAGAGGGGTGGCTGTTGTTGGTCATCTATTCCAACCCCCCTGCCATGGGCAGAGACACCTTTTACTGGACCAGGTTGTTCCAAGCCCTGTCCAACCTGGCCTTGAACACTGCCAGGGATGGGGCAGCCACAGCTTCTCTGGGCAACCTGTGCCAGTGCCTCACCACCCTCACAGTAAAGAACTACTTCATTGTATCTAATTTGTATCTGCCCTCTTCTATTTTAAAACCATTCCTCCTTGTTGTGTCACTACATACCCTTGTAAAAAGCCCCTCTTCAGGTCTCTTGTAGCCACTCTTTTGGAGCTGGAAGCTGCTCTAAAGTCTCCCCAGAGCCTTCTCTTCTTCAGTCTGAACAACCCCAGTGCTCTCAGCCTGTGTTCATAGGAGAGGTGCCCTATCCAGCCTTCTGATCATGGTTAAATTCTCAACAGTAGAGAGGGCATAGCAGGGTGTGAGTTAATCTGAAGGTAAGTGGTTAAATTGTCATTCTATTTTGGTCCCTCCTATGGGTTTCTGTTCTTTAAGCACCCAGTAGTGGTTTCATGCTAAACAAGTAACTAATTGTGGGAGTGGTGATAACCATAAAATTCAGAAATTCCACAGTTGAAGTAAACTTGAGTTTTAGTCGACCTTATTTGGTCAGTTTTTTCCTGAGCTCCTCAGCAAGGATGACAGGCTAGTCCTTGCAGGTGCCAGTTGTGGCAAGAGCCGAAAACTATTTGCTACTTCCATCCTGTTGTCTACACTCCTACTGCCTTGCTGCTCCCCTCAGTCTGTGAGGATAAAATAGCAAGGAGAAAACAACTACTTTTTAATCGTATTTCTGTCTTGGACACTTATGACTAAGACAACCTGTTCCAGCTAAGTATAAACTGCTAATCCAAAAGTATTCCATTCCTGCTTGATGCATGTGTTGCCTCCCAACTTGGTTATCTGTGCCCACCTGGCAAGAGCACAAAGTCTGTCTGTCAGTGAGTTTGCAGAGTACGTTTGCTCAGTGCTCC